AAAAAGGAATGAACCGCGTCAAGATGGAGACACGCAGACATTCCCATAGAGAATTCACTTTCCGGACGTGTATCTACCGCACAATAAATAAATAAAAAGACAAAAATAAATTCCACGGTACACACAACTTTTACAGCAAGAATTATTAAAAAGAAATAAGTTTGGACGACAAACCGGTCAAGAGCATTACGCCCTTGTTTAATGAGTTCCTCGACTCGCTGCCCGGTTTCCAACATCCCAACACCAGTTTTCGCGGCTTCAAGTTCACCCTCTGCAGCTCGCAGGTTGAACTGTCCGTGAACGTGCTGTTCAGCTGTTGGACCGGCACCATGTATCTCACCAAGCAGTTGCCGGCGAAGGCCTTTTAGTGTTTGCCTTCTTGCGTCAATCTGACCACTCGTCCTAAGATCCCAACCCTTCTTCATCGGCATAGACTATGAGAGGGGTAGGGAAGAAAAGAAGAGGAATGAACTGCGTCAAGATGGAGGCACGCAGACATTTCCATAGAGAATTCGTTTTCCGGACGTGTATCTACCGCACAATAAATAAATAAAAAGACAAAAATAAATTCCACGGTACACGCAACTTTTACAGCAAGAACAATTAAAAAGAAATGAGTTCTCAATTTAGTTTCTATTTTCTGATCTTTGCTGTCTGTTCTTTTGTGATGACGTCCTACAGCAATGTACAGGTACCGCAGCCACGGCCAGTGTGATCAAGGCAACAGCACACTTGTGAGTACGCACAACAACCACAGAGCAAACAACAGGTAAGTAGTCAGCCAACACAAGAACACAATCAATGGTTAGCTTAGCTTCCAACCTCCCCAGCTGTATCATCTGCAGAAGCAATGCAATCAATACCTCACCCTCATGCCCCGTGCCACCCCTGGAATGCCAACATTGCATCTCCAAAGAGTCTGCCACGTCAGCACGTCAAGGACCTGATAGGTCTACAAGGGGGGGGGGGCACATCAGCAATGCATGCATGCAACACACAACACTGGCTTGTCACGACAGCACAGTGCATCAACAGCAGGTGCTCGCAACACAAGTATGTGCCACGTCAGACCATGCCCTGCCACACATGCCACATAGGCAATGCGCCTCATCAGCAGTCCCGATCTTTCTCCTAACCAGCGCCAGGTCAGCCTGTTGCCAACGAGCTCTCGCCGGTATCTTGAAGTCTTCAATGCGGCCACGTCATCATCTTCGAGGGACAGCTGCTCACACGTGCAATACTAAAATGTCTAGACTTGCGGCATTTACCGAGCGCGTTAATAAACGCATTTCGTTTTGCACATGTGGCACGTCCCACTTACCTGGGTGCCACGTCAGCACCTGACAGCAGACAGAAGATTGCGATGAAAGAGTTAGCTCCAATACCAAATTGGAATGAACCCAGTCTGGCAGATACTCATCAGTTGTCAAGCACCAGTAGTCTCTGTATCTGCAGCAAAGTCTCCAATTACCGTGATGTGCAGTAGTCCCCTGCTGACAGGTGCCTCGGGGGCAGGTAGGTCCTTCCTCTCTTTTCTACCTTCCCAGAAACTGGTTTTGTTCATGATTGGCTGCTTGCCGGTAATAAGCAACCGGACTGGTGGCCCCCAGAATAGAAGGGGCGAGTGTGTGTGTTGGTAAAAAAAAAAAAAAGAAAAGAAAACTGAACAGTATCTCATTACCATTAGACGAAGAGAGCGGAGGGGGATCAGACAGAGGAGAAGGTGGAAGAGATGATCAAAGATCACACAAGAATAATCCTGTCAAACCCCACTCCTTCTCTGGGCTTCTTCCCTCTCCACGTCAACAACCAGTATATGATAACAAGTACAATAATCCTGATCACACAATAGTGCCACGTGGCACTCTTATCTCGTGAAGGCCATGAAGACACAGCAGATTACAGTGACGACGTCAACCTCAGGTGAGTACCCAATCCCAATCATCCACGGATCCTGATCTCCCTCCTTCTCGCAACCAGTCACCTCATGCAGACAGCGTGGACAATGCCACGTCAGCAGTCGAGACAGGAGGCGAGCACCGCATCATCAATGAAGACCAGAGGCACGCGCCACATCAGCAATGTAGACTAGTGGCAAGCGCCTCATCAACAATGTGGTCCAGAGGCAGCGCCACATCAGCCTGCAATGTAGACCAGAGGCAGCACCACATCAGCATGCATTGTAGACCAGAGGCAGCGCCACATCAGCATGCAATGTAGACCAGAGGCAGCGCCACATCAGCNTGTAGACCAGAGGCAGCGCCACATCAGCATGCAATGTAGACCAGAGGCAGCGCCACATCAGCGTGCAATGTAGACCAGAGGCAGTGCCACATCAGCATGCAATGTAGACCAGAGGCAGCGCCACATCAGCATGCCGGGCGCACAATGCAGAAAGCGCCAGCATGCTGTCGTCGTTGCCCACAGTGCCGGCGTCCAGCCAGCGTCTCGCCAGCGTCTGGTCGAAGTCAAGCCAGCGTCCAAGCAGCATAGCAAGACTGAATGTTGACCACCTCGAGGCCAGCCTTAAAGTAGTATTTGACGAGGCTGTATGGCCTCGGGTCCTGTTCCCTCAGTCGTCCAGATTGCCTCACAGCCGAGGGGCCCGATTGTATACAGTTGCAGACTTCCCTTAGAACCTGATGCTGTCTGGGTACCTGCATACAAACAAGTGTGTGTGCTTGACCGGCGGCCTGGACTGGGTACCTTTGGACTTTGACTGTTCGTGTCACGACAGTTGACAAAAGTCAACTGTCACACGTCCAGGCCCTGAATTCTCGTCTGGGGTCTTTTTCCCCCGTTTTGGCCTGGACTGAAGGCGGCCTAGTGAGCCCTCAGATTTCCACGAGACATATGGCATGGGTTATTGCATATATATCGTCACAAACAGAACTGCCCGGTGAACCGTATCGTCAAACAGAGCTGCGCGGTAAACCGTAGGCAGAGAGGGAGAAGAGGACAGCAGAAAAGGGGCTGTGATGCACAGAAAAAAAAAAAGAGGCCATGATATATGTATACTACTATACGAGAGAGAGAGAGAGAGAGAGAGAGAGAGAGAGAGAGAGAGAGAGAGAGAGAACAAGCAAATATTTCTTTGAACTTCTTTCACATTATTCAGAATACCCCTGTCGATATTCCGAAAGCCCCCTCTCCAATCAGCTAGGATTCCCTCGCCAATAACGTAGTAAATATAGAACTCATAAGTTGGTAGCAGCAGCCCCAACTATATATGCTGTAACTTCGAATTCAGGTCCGTGTTTCAGCAGTTATGGGTTACTAACTTACTAACTCAGTGCGTAATTTTCAGGGCTTCACTCCACTACTCGCCAAATGTGCATGAAATCTTCTCGTAGAACATGGAACCATACGCTGCCATCGTGACTGGTGGAGTGAGGCCCTTTGGGCCACTGCTTTGTAAGAAAAGGAAAAACAAAAAGAAGAGAGAGCTACCGTAGTATTAGTAGCGAGTTAGTAACCCATCACTCCTGGAACACAGACCTGAATTTGAATCCAGACTATATGTTGATGGTCGGCTCGTGTCCTCGCTGCAATATAATAAACGTCTTTCCAGAGGAATGGGATTCTTATTAGTTCTCCTTCGGGGATCCTTTGGAAATCGAACGAGTATGATGAGGCCCCAAATTCTATCTTTCTGTGCACTTGGAATTTTCGGAAGGGAGGGCTTCGTTTGGCTCCCACTGCCTGCCCTTTTCGACTTTTTTTTTTTTTTTGCACTTGTGTCGCAGCTGCACGTGTGCGCGCATATTCGCACGCACGTGATGCGCCGCATGTACATTGTTTTTGGTCCAGAACCCCTAATAACCCCCCCAACCCCCCCCACCCCCCCCCCACCCCCCCCACCCCCCCCCAACCCCCTCATCCCCCCCCCCCCCTTCCCCAGAAGTTTCTCAGCGGATTTGGGCTGTACTCAGCAAGCGCAGTGCAGATTCCAACTCAGATCTGAAAAAAAATCAGTGGATGGCTGTTTTCTGACTGGTCGGCAGACCGCCGACCGGTCGGCCCTACTGGTCCTCTGCAAAACGGTCGGCGTAGGCAGGTATGCAACCATGGCTGGGATGTGTATCTCAGGAGTATATTGAAAGGGGGCAGTTGTTACTGTTATCACAGAGGCAATCTTCTTCTGACCAGAGTGGCGCCTTCGCTGACCAATGAGGAAAGTATGGCGTTGTATGCCTCCAAAAAGGGGCGCAGATATTCCTGTGATTGCAGGGGCCCAGTGCCTGACCTTTGAGTCTGATGGCAATTGCCTCCTCCCTGACAAGTGAATTTGTGACCACCAGCCTTCTCTTCCTTGACACTCAAGGCGTAAGACCTGTCCTTGGCAGAAAGACCTCTCTTATACCTGGGCACCACGGCAGTTAACACACCTTGTTAACAGGGGCTTGGCCTACGGGACCAGGATGGCTGACGACAGCTGGCAAAAATAAAATATTTTGCACCTGCACCGCTTTGTTTTTTTTTGGAGCAGAGCAGCAATCCGGGTCAGGAAAAAATGGCTAGGAGGGGGGAATGGTGGTGACACCCAGGAAGCCAATCAAGATGTGTGTTTGTTTTCCACTATTTGTTCTCTCTCTCTCTCTCTCTCTCTCTCTCTCTCTCTCTCTCTCTCTCTCTCTCTC